GCGCGCAAGCAAGCGATGTTATAAGGGGGATACCCGTCATGCGTGCGGGGGGGGGGATTCGCGCGTCCGGAGCTCCCGCCCTGGCTCTTTGAAGCCGACGAGGGCTTAGCAGATAGCAAGAAATATGCTTTCTGCAGGCCCCTCAACCATCAAGTACTTCGCCCGATGGAGAGCATGGGATCGTGGTACGCCCCTCAATCTGAGGATCCCGGCAGCCAGAGTCAGCGCAGATCCTTTGAGGTCCTGGGGGAGGAGGCCCAGGACCCAGCGCAACGCCACAGCTGGCAGGGGGGAGCCCCCGGCACCGTCATTCTCAAAAGGCTGCAAGCGGCACGTGACAGCAACCAGAGTGCGTTCGGTGGGTGGGTGGGGGGGGGGGGGGAGCCTCAATGAGGCCCGACTTGGCGGCCAGGCCCCCATCCGTAAGCTTCGTCACGCGCGGCCTGCGAGGGCGACGCGGCGGTGTGTGGTCAGCGCGCGACGCGGAGCATGGCGGAGAAGCGGCGCGGGAGAACGCATAGTCTGGGCGCGAGAGCGCCGCACAGCGGGAGGCGAGGCGGGGACCAACCGTTCGCGGCCCGCGAGGCGGATCCCGAGGACCGCGTCCGTCGTAGGCTTTGACAGCACCACGGATTTGATCTCATTGGGCGCGGGCTCGTACGCCGCCGACTGCGCTGCGACCGGCACTGACGCTGCCGCTGGCCGGGCAGTGGTCGCAATGCCGTTGGCGCGCGGGGGCGCCGGCGCCGGCGCCGCCTCCTCCTCCTCCTTGGCCGCCTTTGGCGGGGCCTTCTGCGCAATGGAGGCCCAGCTCATGATGCTCTCCGAGGGAAGCACGAGGCAGAGGGCGGTGAGGAAGAAACACGCGAGCGCAAGCGAGCGGGGCGCTGAGCCTCTGGTTCGTGCGTCGCCCATCTCTCCCGGAGATTCTTTTATTTTTTTTGCCCTGTTTGTTCACCGATTTTTCTTGCAGCGCTGGCGACGCAGCGGCATGGAGTCGCGGCATTTTCGAGCAGTCAATTATCGGCGACCAAGAAATCTGCCATTGCGCAGTAATTTGCGCAGGGCTCTTCCCGCGGCGACGGGGACGAGCTGGTACGCGTTGACGTCGGCGATGACGGCGATAGGGGCGGCGGTGGCGGTGATGACGATGGGGGCGCAGGCGAAGGCGGCGGTGATGGCGATGGCGGAGGTGGCGGCAGCAGCTGCGGCGGCGGCGGCGGAAAGCACTCATCGCAGCCACCGCAGCCGACCCAGCTGCACCGCTGTGGCCACGCGCTCGTCTTGGGCTCATGGCAGTGCTTGGCACACCTGCCGTCGCTCAAGAGAAGGGGAGCAGGCGACAGCGGCAGCGGCGGTGGGAGCGGCTGCGGTGGCGGAGGCGGGAACAAGAGCGGTGGCAGCAAGAGTGACATTGGCACTGGCACCGACGATGCGTGATTCTGCTTGAAGTACACGCGATAGCCGGTCACTCGCCGAGTCTCTGGGCACGAGCTGATGAAGTGGCACGCGAACCATATATGCCCACCAGCATGGGCAGGTGCCTCAGTGCGCTGCACCATCAGCCCAATGCAGTCTGCATCCGCATCGCAGGCAGCGCGGCACCCTGGCAGCTCGTTGCTGACATCCATGCTCGCCCCATGCTCCCGTACTGCCATAGGCGCGGTCGTGCACTGCAGGTTGTCCCCAAGGAAGTGGTAGGTCGAGCGACAGAGTGCGTCCCGCTCGTTGGGCGTGTAATCTGCCGGGCAGCCGCAGACTCCAGCGGAGGTGAGAGGCCCATGACAGGCGTGGGCTGACGCCATGTGCGACCGCCGTGGCGAGGGCGGGGCGCCAGCAGTAGCAGACTGCCCCGGCTCGCCACTATTTGCGGACGATGGATCGGCCCACTTTCTAGGATCGAGGACGCAAGTCGAGGAGCTGCCAAATTTGGCGAGATCTAACGAAGTGTGCAACGCAAACATAGCAAACGGTTCATTTCTGTGGCATTGGCCCTCATTAGGTTTTATGGACTTTCATTGTTGCGCTCACGTCGCAGAATAGCAATCCCCAGCTCTACCTACCCACGACCCGAAACATGAATGAGAACAAAAAAATAAATGAACGCAAAGAGTCGTAGAAAATCCAAAATCCAAATCGCAAACATAGAAACCCAAAGCCCAAACACACACAGCCACGTGGCATAGGAGAGCAGGAGGAGAAAGAATAAACAATCGCGATGAATGTACAGTCGTAGAATGAATGAGACACACACACACACACACACACACACACACACGCCGCACGGGCCACGGCCTACTCGTCAATTACTCTCTCTCTCTCTCTCTCTCTCTCTCTCTCTCTCTCTCTCTCTCTCTCTCTCTTGTGCGAGGCGTGAATGCGCCGATTGCTCTCACCTGGGCAAGCCCTGTCTGAGGGCCTAGAGGTGTCCGTTTTATTTATTTATTGAGCACTGCTGAGGGGTCCCGTACCATGCGGAATCGGACCCTATCCAGTGCTCAAGTGCAAGGGCCTGTCTGCGCGCCTCGTTGCACGCGCGTGAACAGCCTCTATCAGAGGACCCAAGTGCCAGTGTGCGGATTTCGTTTTGTATTGCAAAAAAGCTCTCTCTGAAACTCTGTCTACTGTCTGTCTGTGCCTCGTCGCTCGTGCCTGTCTGTCTGTCTGTTGTGACGGTCTGTCTTCTGTCTCTCTCTCAATATTTTGATCTATATCTCTCTCTAAACAATTGAATAAATAAAATCATCTGGAGCGAGATGGGTGTAAAAGGGAGCTTGGACCTCGCTTGGTCCCCGCGCCACATGGACATGCTTCCGGTATGAGCCTGTCGAGGACTGGGGCTCCACGTGTGAAGCAAAACAGGCCGTGTGGGGTGTGGGTGTCACGAGGACAGACGTCCACGAAGACGGTGGACGGACGCAAACTCCTTATCCGATTCACACTCAGACTCACGGCTGTCCTACTGGTCATATAGAAAGTCGGCCGTCTGCGAGCCCCCGGCTCGCCGACGGCGAGAGAGATGCCACGAGGGGTCGCGGTGGCGTCCATCGCCAGGCTCCCTAGCTCAACCGACGACCCTTCGGGATCGACGGCCGATCGTCATCCGGATCCGGCGGCCCCCTGCCCCACCCCCAGCAGGTGCTAGGACGCAGGAGCCCCGCGGGCAGGGGGCAGCGCGCCGCCCAGTACGACTAGGGGGCGGAGACCAGCTCTGTTTTTAACCCATTTTATTGTCTCGACCACAACGCGCGCACGGAGACGCGCGGAGCACGTGTTTTGTGCCTTGTGTGTGTGCTTCATCTCCTTCTACTGTCTTCTCACTCTTCTCTGGGCCCATTCTCTCTTCTGGTATAGCAGCTAGCACGACAGTCGCAGCAGCAGTGCCGCCGGACCAGCAACGGCCACCCTGCTCTCTGCCGAAGCCCAAGCGGAGACTTGCGGACACGACAGGTGTAATTCGGAGCAGGCGCCTGCGCTGGTGCAGCCGATGGTCGGCCCCTGAGTCACGCGTTGCCGTCCTTGGCGCGCCTCCACTCGACGTAGTCGTCTAGCAGCACCGGCCACGCGCCATCATCCTGCAAGAGAGGCAAGGCAAGCTGAGGTCTTGCTCTCGCGTGTGTTTGCGAGGGGCGGGGTTTGACGGGTTGGAGGTGCCCCTCGGCGCCCAAGAGAGAGAGAGAGCGAGAGAGAGAGCGAGAGAGAGAGCGAGAGAGAGCGCGTGCGTGCGTGCGTCCGTGTCTGCGTGCGTGCGTGCGTGTCCTTCATGTCTGCGTGCGTGTCTGCGTGCGTGACAGCGTCGTGCGTGCGCCCGTTGTCAATGCGCCTGAAAGTTAGAGCAGTCGGGGAGAATCTCGCGGCAAAATTGCAGCGCCATCATCCACTCGTCGTGCGAGACGCCTCGCTGCGCCTGCGGGCGCACACCCCGAGAGGCCGACTCAGGCTCGGGCGGCGGCGGTAGAGGGGAGGCGCGGCCGACCCACCAGCTGTTTGTGGCCCGAGAAGTACTCACACAGGGAGGACGCGTGCGCGGGCCAGGTCGGCTTGAAGAGCAGGCCGAGCATGACGACGGCGGAGTTTACGTCGATGTTCTTCCGCCGCGGATCCTCGCGGCAGAAGCGGTGCGTGAAGGAGTGCAGGTCGCGGAAGCGCTCGATGTCGCCAAGGAGCGCCTGGAAGAGCGCCTGCAGCTCTTTCTGCAGCTCCGCGGCAGAGGAGGCGCCGCCGAGCCGCCCGGCGCCCGTTTCCCACTCCTGGTGCGTCAGGTAGCCCATTTTGCTCGCGCCCATCGCCCACGCGAGGACCAGCAGCGTCACATCGCTCGGGTCGACGCCCATGTCAGCGCAGAGCTTCTCGACCCCGTCCGGCCCAATGCTAGGCTCTTCGGCGTCAGCCTCCTTGTACGTGTCGAAGATCGCCATGTACTTGGAGGTGTCCGGCCCGGGCCTCCTCCCGCCCCGGGCCCAGGACCGCATGTGTGCGAGCACGCCGACCCCCTTTGCGAAAGAATTTAACACGCGAATTCGATGCAAAAAAAACAATTGTTCTTCTTCGGCCGCCACACCCCCCAAACCGGCCTGTTGGTCTCTTGGGTTGATGTGCTGGTCCTTCAACACCACTTGCGCCTTCGCCGCGTCGTACGCGGTCATAATCGCCGCGTACAAGCTGGTCGGCCGCCGCTCCTGGCGCTCGCTGGCTTTCCACGTCAACCAGCTCGCGATGGAGGGCTCGCAGGCGCTCAACATGCTGGCTCTTGCATCCACCTCTGAGTCCCGGAACATGCTCATCGGAGCCTCGGCGGCGTTCAGCCTGACCGTGTACTTCTTCATCCCATTTGCGCTCCTCCTCACGCTTACCGCTCCGGACGCGGTGGTCGTCATGAAACACACGTACCCGAGCGCGGGGCCTCACCGAAGCCTGCTCCACCACGGCAGCTACCAGGCGCTGCTCGCGCTGCTGACGGCATACATGATCGGGGATGTCTGGCTCGGATCGCTATTCGGGAAGGCATGCCCGCCCTCCTCGGCCATCCCCTCTTCTCGCCCGCACCTGCCTTGGTTCAGAGTACGCCTCCCGGGGAGCCGGCGGGTCACGGCTATTCCCTTCCCTGGCGATGATGTGCGCTGCGCCGCAGCTTGATCAGCCCTGCGTGTGACGCCTCCCGCCCCCGCCCTTGAGTAGGTCTGCGATTTCCTCCCCGCTATGCACTCTTCGCTTCACTCCAGCTGGGGTGTTCTCCTCAACCAGATGCCGGAAGACACATGCACGTGCCCCCGCACCTCACTTGGCGGCATGCGCACTGCGGATCTGTATTCGGTATTCTCGGCACGCGTGCTGCGGATACGCTGTATTCTCGCTGCGTGGACGCTGTCTCGAGCGCGAATGGTCACGTCGAGGCCGCAAACGCCATGACACAAGTTCCCGCCCCGCCCTCTCCGCCGTCATCACCTAGGCCTGCTCCGCTTCGACATTGCCCCCACGCGCTGCCGCAGGCATGGGCTTCGACCTGCTCATGGGCCCCTCGCACCACGTGATTTGGAAGTACCGCCCGCTCGTCTGCACGGACGGCTTCCCTTACGCCTCCCCCAACGCGGGCACTTGGTGAGGGGCCGCGCCAAGCCCTGCCCAGCCCTCGCTCCCGGCCGTGCAACATCTGCCCAGCCCTCGCCCCCGGGGCGCTGCCCCGAGCGCCGTGCTTGCTGCGGGCAAATCTGCGGCCCAACCCGCTCGCGGCTCTTGCCGTCAAAGGTGCGCACTGTTTTACGCGATGGTGTTTCTGCCCGACCTCGGTAAGCCCGGCTGCGAGTGGGCCATCGTCGCGTGCCTCGCCCTCGCGTCCATTCCGGTGCCCCCCCCCCCCCTCCCCCCTTTCGGAGTGCTGTTTCTCCTCCCCTCCTCCTCTCTTCCACCCATCTGCTCTTTAGCTGTGGCCTCCGTTGCGCCTCGGACTAGGACTACATCTCGCTCCTCGATGGCGGCACGAGCGAAACCATCTCGTACTGGTGCTGGACAACCTACTTTTACATTCTGTTCCAGCCCTACATGGACACGGCGCCCCCCCCCCCAAAACACAAAAAGAGTCTTTCGCTCTCTCACTCTATCTGTCTCTCACTCTCTCTCTC